GTAAATGAGTCCTGACTGAGAATAAGTTATTTGGGTCAGGTTACGAATTGAGTATAAATAGTTATTTATAAATTGCTAATGTACTAGTAGTTGAAAATGATGAATCATGGCCCTTGGTTTTTATCAGATTGTGGCATATATATATATATATATTTTAAGTATAGTTGAGAATCAATTTATCATAAAGTTGATATAAAGGTCGGGAAATGAATTGTGAAATAAAGGGAAAGTATTGATATAAGTTTGGGATATGGTTTTTCAAACCCACCACAAAGGTATCCCCTAGTTGCTTTGAAACAATGTCATTTATAAATAATGCCCCATGTGTTTCGGGGACATCTGAATTGTGTAGTGCAAGGAATGCGATACAGGCTGACCAATGGTCCCATGAGGCCTGCGAGGATTGCAGCTCAAATAGACTTGGTATCTTCGAGGCCTGCGAGGATTGCGGCTAGGGTAGACTTGGTATCTCCAAGGCCTGTGAGTATTGCGGCTCGAGTAGACTTAGTGTCTCCGAGGCTTGTGAGGATGGAATTGACGGTATTAATAGAATTGGCGGATTAGGAATGGGGGTACGCCTAGGTAGAGAGAATTTCAGTTTTGAGATGTTCTTAAACTAAAATAGAGGGAGTTCAGTGTATGGCTTATCTATAATCAGTATATGACTGTTACAAGTATTGGGAAGTTGCAAAATATTGTTTTAGAATTGTGAATATGATTGAGTACATCTCGCACATGAGAATTCAATTTGATTTGCAAAACACATGACAATATGATGAATGAATGAGATATTCAATTACATTATTAAAGGGAAAGAACTATATGGCTTGATCCCTCAGTAAGGGTAAGTAGGCAGCCTAATGTTACAAGGTGCAGCCACGAGTTGGAGTGTTTGAGATTGCTAATGTACTATTGATGTTCTGAAAGTTGAGATGAATTTTATTAGCAGAATGATTTATTTGATTTGTTGAGGTCTGAGGCCAGAATGATATGATGCTTGATTGCTTGGATATAATTTGATGCATGCAAAACGATTGGTATATATAGATGTTTGTTGACAGGTGGAAACTTTTGGGAAACGAGCAAGTTACAGGGAAGACTCTGTCGAATTTTCGGCAACAACCTAATTGATAGTAAAATTTGGTTTCTAGTTAGAATGGCAGTTTGGGCATTTATGCCCGGCATTCGCCAGGTGTCGGACACGCACAGGGTTCAGCTCGGATTCCAAAGTGGAATTTGGGTCGGGTCCTGTCAATAAACATGATGAAACTTTGTCTTGCATATCACTTCTCTCTACAGTTTCTCCCTTAGTTTGATAACAATGTGCAATTGTATATATATATATTTTATATATACTCATTTCAAAAGTTTTTTTTTTCTATCGCATATATTTCTTTTCTGAGACGGACATCTAAAAAAAATAAAATTGCAAAAAAAGAAAATATAATAGTATTTTAAGTCGTCAAGTAATTAATAAAAAAGCCTCCTGCAGGCGTTTGAAACACCAACACATTTTTGATATCAACAGGGGGAGCTTGATCCTTTATAAGATGCTTCACATTTTCATTTGTATCCACATTCCGTTTTTAACACCAAACATGGTATTGCAATAGGCTAATCCAAACATGGCCATAGAATTATATGAAGTGATGGTATACATGCATACATAAATGAGTGCTATACATACATTCAACTTCTTTCTCACATTATCTCCTTGTGTTCTTTTAATAGTAATCATCTTTATTTACTGTATATACTGTTTTTTAGTATAAGCAATAGTCTAAACTATATACTTTTTTTTTTTACTCTATATTCTTAAACCAAAACATTCACGGTAACACACTTCAGTGAAGTTTGTAACTCATAAAAGAATTTGATTGTATAACAATTCAGAATCACAGCCAAGCATGTTCCCTTTGGCAAATTTGAGTAAATTCTTCCTATATGTTTCCACTCTCCAGGCAAGGCTTTTCTAGTCAGTGCATCAGCTAAAATCACCCCATTTTATGATCTTCTCACACACTATCATCAAACTTCAGCCAATTCGACCCAAAAAAAACTCAGCCAATGTCAGATTTAGTCTTAGAGGCTTGCCATTGAACAAAATGCATCAGATTTCAGCATATACGTCCCTTTTTCCAGCCTAAAACCTTACCTTGGGAAAATTGAAGATTCTTCTTCCATGGACGCACACCCTATAACAGTACCACGAGCCGACCCAACCATGGGTCTAGTTTCCCTCCATTTCAAGGGCTTAACCAAGGGGTTGCAAACTCTCACCAAACCCAACTTCACAATGTCAAACCTCCCAGCACCTGATTGTTCCCACTTGAGAGCCTTCCCTCCCAGAACATAAAGTTCGTGTCTTAATGCAGCAAAACCATAACCAAAAGCCTCCAGCTGCCGCGAGTGATCAGGAAGATTCACCGATGGAACTGAGCCTATGTTGTACCACTCTCCTTTTTCGGTATCCCTTGTTTTAATCAAGCTCTCACCCCAGTCTACAACAGTATATACTCGATTATCTCCGATCACCTGAACTGCAAATTGCATTGCCCTTGAAAAAGGCCAGATGTCTTCAACTGTGCGCCATGTTCCATCAGCTGGACTAAAAACATCTGAGGTATTTTGGTCTGGCAGGCCTACTTGGTCACTCAAAACATGAAATTTGCCTTTGTATGATAAGCCCAAGCAGTCCATTTGAGGGTGGCGCATTGGTGGCAACTCCTCCCATCTGCAAAATTTATAGTCATACCATAAATAAAGAATTTTCAGTTTAGGAAAAAAAATATAGAAGAAAGAAAGAAAGCCAATTGAATACATTCACTATAAAATATATATCACAAACAAACATCTAAACATATGCATACACACGTAGGTATATGAACACACTAGCTATCCGGAGTAAATACCATCAGGCCACACTTCTAACAAGGGAGGTCAACAGATTATAAAGACCAGTCTACCAATCCTCAAGGAAGATTGACGTAGTTTGCCCCAACAAAAATAGTGAAAGATAATACAGCAAAACATGAAAAATGACAAAACTTTTCTTCGTAAGTATAAATGCAAGAAGCATTGATAGTAACATCAGTACTCAGACATGTTTGAAGTGTCAAATAAAGGAACATACTTATCAGCAACCGGATCATAAACCTCTGCAAGAGCAAGCCCTCTGGTGCAAGATAAGTTGCGCCCCCCAGCAACATAAATTTTACCATAAACAGCACTACATGCAAAATGAGAACGGGTTGTAAGCATGGTTGCCACATTGGTCCACTGTTTCTTAAATGGATCAAACTGCATCACCTCGTTTGTTATAAAAGGCCTTTGGTGTGGAAATGCTGGATCATGCGGTGCATAGGACCCTCCAATGACGAAAAACCGATTTCTGACAGTAATACTTGAAAATCCGAAGTGTTTCCAGTCAGCATGGACAGTTGGAATCTTTGGCAAAGGATGCCACCTATCAGCTTCAGGATCATAAGCAACCCACTCATTGTTGGAGCCTTCTGTCAGGACAAACAGCCAGTTGCCACACCATTCTTCTCTAGCCTTATAGTTGGCATAGTCCAAGCTACGGATTAAATCTCTCCACGTCTTTGAGACGGTTTCGAGCAGTCCATGATACCCATGAGAAACCATTGCCAAACATCTCAAAGCCAAATCATCAGGCAATCCAGGAATGATAGATTGATGCACAGATTCCCTATAGCCCACAGATTGACAAATTAAACAACCAAATACTTGTGTCCAAAATGGAAAAACTACATGCACATAGAATTAAAGATAAAATAAAGGTCAGTTATTCGAAACAACAATTGCAAAACTACAAAACCCAAAACAAAACAAAAACGCAAAGAAACACAAGAACAACAAAAGAGGAGCATATGTAGTAACAGGCACATAGGAGTTCATTCATCAGCTAAAACTCTGATTGACTTATTAAATCATTTCTACACAATTTTATTATCGAGGGACAATAATGGGGACCGATATGTTAGTTAGTTGAGACTTGAGAGAAACAATTTCTTACATGACTCAATATATCCAGCAAAATTGTTCCTTTTTCTTATGAATCTGGCATGGGCACCTGCAACCCCTCTCTTGGAAATCAAAAATCAAACTGAAAAACAAAAGGGAATGGCTTGCACCGAATACCCTCTGATGAATTTCCTGCAAATTGAATTCAGGTTCAGATAAATAGGCCCAGACAAAGAAATTAATCAGGTTATAATAAAAAAATGTAAAAGGATAAAGAGAATTTAGGGGAAAAAGAACTTACAGAAATAGCAGCTAGTCATTATGTCGCTTTCGGGCGATGCATTGTTTGGGCCTCTGGAATTTGTGTCCAAATTTGATGGTGAGAGAGGTAGAAAATCAAAACCAAGCTGGTTTCTTTTGCATTGTAGCAGGCAGCAGGCAGCGGCTCCAATGTCCTTGCCTCTCAGCACATACTCTACGCGCGGGCCAGAGATGCCCTATTGAGAGAGAGAGGAGAGGGACCAGTATGAACTGAAAGTAGATGGAGCTGAGAGATAAATGAATAATACTTTTTGTCCAAGTCCAAAAAAGATGGCTAATTCATTCAACATGAAAAAAGAGGAGAAATTGCCTTGCTGCTGATGTTTGCAGTCTGGCCAGGCCTAGAGTTGTGGCTGTTTAGTTTCTTTTGTTTTGGCCTTCTTGGCCCCATTTCACCAAAAAAAAAAAAGAGGAGAAATTGGTTTGGCAGCAGGCTAATATTCTATGGTGATGTGTCAGATTTATAATATTTTATATTTGTTGTGATATAATTTACTATGGTGATCACTGATCAGAGCTTTTTTATTTATTTATAATCTATAAATAATGTATAGTAAGAGTTTTTTTTGTTATGTTGTCAAATCATTAGCAGGTGATCCAAAAGAAAATAAGCAGGCCATGAGTTAATGGGCCAGGCTATTTCTTTTTCGAACAGAAATAGCCCATGACACACTCCAATTAAAAACACAGAAAAAAGGAAAAGAAAAAGGAAAAAGGTAACCGCGAAGACGAACCGTCTTAGGGACTCTAGAAGGTGCTTTTCGTACGACCCAAGGAGGCAAATCGAGAGAAAAGGCTCTGTTGTTGCAGTTGCAGATCAAAATTATCAAACCCTAAACCGAAACGAAGATGGCGAGAACAAGAAACGGGCCGCGATCGAACGGAATGCTGCCGCTGTTAGCACTTCACGCGGCGAGCGAGTATTACAGGCTCGACCGGAAGCCTCCGGTCACCGCCGGACTCATTGCCGCCAATTCTCTCATCTACTTACGCCCTGCTTTTCTCGACCCCATTCTCCCTTCCCTCCAAGAAGTCTGGTTCAACCCCCACCTCATCCTCAAGGTAATTTCTCATTCTCATTTCTAAGTTCCCAAAAACCCCAAATGGTTGAAATGTTATCACTCTGTAATAAACCTTGAATTATTAGTTTTTGTTCTTTTGATTTCATATGTGAATTGGGTGTTTTATATATTGATGCGGGTAAGCTGTTTGTGAAATTGTTTGAACAGAATGGAGACTTGAAGCGCTTCTTCTTGTCGCCGTTCTATCATGTGGGAGAGTCTCACTTGGTTTACAACATGCTCTCCCTCTTGTGGAAGGGAATTCAATTGGAAAATTCAATGGACAGTGCTGAGTTCGCTTCCATGGTTGCTGTGCTACTGGGCATGTCCCAAGGAATCTCACTGCTGATTTCCAAGTCCCTGCTTGCGTTCTTTGACTATGAATGGGCTTACTACACTGAATACTCTGTTGGGTTTTCTGGGGTGCTCTTTGCCATGAAGGTTGTGCTCAATTCCCAGACTGAGAACAGTTATGTTTATGGAATTCCGATACCATCTCGTTACGCTGCGTGGGCGGAATTGGCTCTGGTCCAATTTTTGGTTCCTGGTGTCTCTTTTATTGGTCATTTGGGTGGAATTCTTGCAGGGCTTGTCTATATTCAGTTGAGGGGTTCTTACAATGGCTCAGACCCACTTACTGTTATCATCAGAGGTCTTACTGGTGTGCTGAAATGTCCTGTGAGATTTTTACGACGCATGTTTCCATTCCGAAGGAGGCAGATATCCGGTAGAGGACCTATTGGTGGGGGTCAGAGAGGAATTTCTGTGTCTGGTTTCTGGAGATGCCATGCTTGTACGTATGAGAATTCTGCTTGGTTAGATGTATGCGAAATGTGTTCGACAAATAGGACGGCCACTGGCAGTGCCAATGGCATGGCTTCACCTCGATCGGCACATTATTCCGGTGACCTTCCTTTGGAAGAATTACGTCGGCGGAGGATGGAAAGATTTGGGAGATGATAGGGTTCCTATTCCTGAGACTTGTTACGGATGATGTTGGCAATGCATGACCTGCAAATGCAATGCCTCTTCCTCTCCTCACCCCTTTTCATTTGAATGTTCAATCTGGTTAGAACTTGGAACATATTGTCTTAGCTAACTGGTCTTTGCCCAACTATATGCTGAACTTTTATCAATTGTTTGTTGATCGTTGAGAATTTCTATGGCTCAGGATGGCCGGCCTGGGTTTATGTCTTGTGAATGAATGTTGGTAGGTCCAATGTAACATCTTGATGAAAGTAACTTGATTTAAAGGGCAAACAATAAAGAGGGAAGCAAAATCAGACCGAAGTCTGAATAAAGCATCATCATCAAACATTTGTTGCCATTTGACAAGAAATCTAGTAAAAGAAAATGAAGTATGGGAGCATCGGCTCTCAAGAGAGTTTCCACAATAAAATTGGAAACAGTATAGTGAAAAAACATAAAGACGTGTATTGCAATCACCGCAGTTTTACAAGAATCAACTTTATCGATCTTGGTAGCAAGAAAACGTTGCTAATGATATACAAATGTGTTTCTCTAACATTAAATTGTAGTTAATCTTTACAAAAGACATTTGTTAAGGAAACTTGGCTCGATGTTGCTTCCTGCTATTGCCTCTGTTTATGTAGTTTTGCTCTTTTTGTACCATGTGATTGTATTCGAGCCGCAAATTTTTTAACTAAAATTCTGCACTTGTTCATAATCCTAACATTTGGGTTGTGGATTCTCAATAGAGTATATTGTTCTACCAAAAAAAAAAAAAAAAGTGGGTTCATTAAGAAAAACGAAAAAGGAAATTGGGTTTAAAAAGGCCCAAAATCAGCCTTTCTTTGGGCCGGTCCAAGTTTGTAGCAGACCTCTTTCGTCTGAGTGTTGTCGACTGTCGTCGAGCGCAGTAAACCGCGCGGCATCTCTGTCTGTGTGTGCAGCAGAACAAGTAGTGATAAGGGAGTGAAGAGATAACCGTTGTTTCCTCCACCATCCAACGACTCTTCTTCTTCTTCTGCTTGAATGAGTTTTGATGCTCAACAATATATTATTGTTAATAAGTAACAGCCAATTAGCCATACCAAATTGCCCATATCCAGAACCAGAAACACTGAAATGCTGGCCAAAGCTCCCGCTCCAGCAGTAAACCACCACCTGAGGCCAAAACGCCTTGAACCAGAATGGACGGTGGCACTGGCACCTTACAACTGCAGGTGTCTCCATCTTCGTCAGATGAGAAAATGGGGGATAAGTTGTAGTTTCAGTCAGAGCCCCACCGACAACCCTGCACCTGCTTATGACCTCATGGACGATTTCGTTGTTCTGGGACCAGCCAACAATGACCCTCCCAACAGAAACACCACCCTTAGAGGTCCTCTCTCTCTCTCTCTCTCTCTCTCTCTCTCTCTCTTTATTTCAATTTGGGTTTTGCTTATTGTTTCTGTTAGTTCATGTTCACCTAAACTTACTAATATTTGTGAGTCAAAGACTTCCTCTTTTGAGAATCAATTTTTATCTTTCCAAATTTCACTAGGTTGGTTTTTCCTAAAAAAAATTCTATTTTTCCGTGAAGCTTTAGACAAATTAGAGTTGTAAATATAAGGCACATAAGTTTAGTAATCCAGGGGTTGATTGAACATGCGTACATAATTTGTCCCATCTAAACTGCACATATGTTTATCCTGTGGGAATTGAGCATGTGCCACCATTTACAGACAATGACCGTCAACCAGCACGTACTAGGAAACTTGCTGCAACTTTTGGGAGATTGAAAGTACACAGAGTGAAATCCATAGTCGAGGGAAATTCTCGGATGAAGCAAGAAGTAGATGAAAGTGATGATGAACTAAATGTACAAGATGCACCACCATTTATCAATTCACAATCTACACTTGAAGTTAGGGGGAACAAGAAGAATGTAAATGCCCCCAGTCATGGAGGAAGAGCTTCAAGTGCTTCTCGCTCAGAAGAATTTAGAAACATGAGGCGGAAGAAGGGGACAGCAGATGGCATTGACCGCTCTGGTGTAAGTGTGAAAGATGCTTTTGAGCCGCTCACTGACGACCAGACTAAACAGCATAAGCCTCATAGGTCTGACACCATGGTATCCAGACAAAAGGCTTCCGTTTCAAGAGGTTCTTCTGCTAATGCAAAAGGATGGGGTAATGGAGGAGGGTCCATGTATGACTTGTCTGAGTTGCCAGACCTAAAGCAGCGAAGAAAATTTTCCACTGACAGTGACTTTTTCAGTCGAAAATCCTTTAGGGATTTGGGATGCAGTGACTATATGATTGAATGTCTAAGGAGGCAGCTTTTCCAGCGCCCGTCACATATTCAGGTACATCAATGTTGTTCCCATATTTACATCTGCGAAGAATTTGGTTTGGTGTTTGCTCTGAAATGTATCCACTTCAAGAAGTGTCCCATATATAATGTCCTGTAAAATATTATAAATAGTTATCCACTCTATGGACTTCATCCTGTTATTGTTCCCGTACTTTAGAACTTCTGACCTGTTAGAAATGTGTTTTGGTTGATGCAGTTTTTATACGTACCTGTATGACTCTGTTTCGTTATGTTTTCCTTTCAATCATCTGATCATATTTATCTGATTTAAAGTCTAGTATATGTTGAGACTGGTAGTTTTGCCTGTGGTTGCTACGTTGGATTCTGAAATCTCTATGTGCTTGCAATCACATTGTGATCCTTTAGGATTGCCTTGTCAGACATCTGGCATTATTATAGCTACTGTAATCATGGAAGTTTTCTTCTTAAATACTTTTTTCTTTAGATTTGACTGAATGAATTCCATGATATAAATGTTGTGATAATAGTTTGATAGGTTGGGTTGCTAATAAAGTTAACACATCAGAAAATTAGTGGAATGTGCAATATCCAGCTAATATACTCTTATGAAGTTCATGTTTAGTTTACTTGTACAAGGATGCACCAACTCATAATTAATACTCTTGTTACACGTCCTATATAAATGCAGGCCATGGCATTTGCTCCAGTTGTAGAGGGAAAAACCTCTATGATAGCTGACCAAAGTGGATCTGGCAAGACATTAGCCTATCTTGCTCCAGTAATTCAGCGTTTAAGGGAAGAAGAACTTCAAGGACTGAGCAAGCCCCTGTCACAGAGTCCTCGAGTTGTTATACTGGTGCCGACTGCTGAGTTGGCTTCTCAGGTCAGTTTCTGTTGTGTTTCTAACTTGCTATTTTCATCTTGTGATCTACATGCTTTTAGTTCTTGTTGTCTGTTGTCACCTCTGCTCAGGTTGATTCGACAACAGTTTTCTGAGCTCTTCGCATATTAGTTCATTGCCAGCTCTCAGTTGTTTGACCTTGTTCTCTTGTGAAAAATGTGAACTGTTTTCCTATATGTATTTATAATTATATTGTCATGCTGGCTGCAGCAAGTGCTTAATGCAAGTGTACTTGTGCAGGTTTTGGGTATTTGCCGCTCAATGTCAAAATTTGGGGTTCCAGTCAGGTCTATGGTTGTGACAGGTGGTCATCGACAGAAAACTCAGTTGGAAAGTTTACAACAAGATGTTGATATTCTAATCGCAACACCAGGTCGATTTATGTATCTAATTAAAGAGGGCTTCTTGCAATTATCAAATCTAAGATGGTAACCCAGTTTTCCTTTAACTTTGCATAACTTTTTCTGTCATATTGTCTCTGGGTTGATAAATTAAAGCTTCTTTGTAATTTGAATTTTCGTCCCATATATTTTGGACAGAGCATGAGACATGAATAAGTAACTAAGGATTTGCTGGGATGGGTTCTCATAGCCTGTGTTGTCAAGGAGTGATAAGTTTATTTAACAACTCTGGGAGGTTTGAAAACTATGGACCTTGATTTCAGTTCTATATTCGTTAGCTATCTTGGTTGTTTTGTTGGTATAGTATTGTAACTGTCTTCTCCAGCCACAATAAACTGTCTTGAACAGTTACACCTTGTATGTTTCCTTCACTATGACAAGTAAATTCACTCAGTCATCCAAAATTAATCTAGATGTAAGTATAAATAATAGAACTTAGGAGTTCTTGGTGATGTTGTTGACTAGTCAATCTCTATATTTGTGAGTGGATCTGGGTGTGTGCTTGCATTCATGCTTGTGTTTGTTGATTTACATACATGGCACATCAATATGTGACAAGATATTTTACTGGTGCTAATATAATGAGAACCTCTTGTTGCAGTGCTGTGCTGGATGAGGTAGATATACTCTTTAATGATGAGGATTTTGAAGCAGCACTGGAAAGTTTGATCAATTCTTCACCTGTTACCACACAATATCTTTTTGTGACTGCAACTTTACCTCTTGGCATTTACAACAAATTAGTGGAATCTTTTCCTGATTGTAAAGTGGTCATGGCACCTGGAATGCACCGTGTGAGCCCTGGCCTTGAAGAGGTTAGTTCTCCTGTTGCTTAGTATCTTAATTATTATATTTTGAAGCGTTGCACGATGGATTTAATTGTGGTCCTGGTAATTAGGTCAATACGAAGGCTCTTATTTTATGGTTTACATAGTTTCATTATCATACTTGTTGACTATCGAGGACAAAAGAAAAAATGCTCCACGGGGAACTCGATCCATTCACCAGATCATGTTGGGCTGGAATGCCTTCATTCCCATCCCATCTTTTATGATCTCTGGGCCTTCCCACTATCCTACTCAACTTTGATTGGACAGTCCTAAAATCCTTGTACTAATTTTATAACATCTTACTCTGATATAAAAGAAAAGAAAAACACCATCAGTTGTTGGAGAAAAGGGTATTCCTTTGTTATCATTGCCACATTATTAATTCTACTTTTAATCAACTTTTTTTCCTATCTTCCCCTTCAAATCATTTTGATTAGAATTGAAGAGTTCTAATTACTCCAACATTATGGATTTTAATTATCATGATTCATGTCCAGGTTCTTGTAGATTGCAGCGGAGATGATGGAAGTGAAAGATCTCCAGAGATGGCATTCTCGAATAAGAAATCTGCTCTTCTGCAACTTGTGGAGGGAAGTCCAGTTGCAAAATCAATAATTTTCTGTAACAAAGTAAGGTGGAACCTTTCCTTCTGGATGGCTTACCATGTACCTGGGGATTGTGGGCTTTCACATACATTTCTGACTTTCTTTTGAGGAAAAAGAGAGCATAGAGTTTTATGAATATGG